AGCATGCTCATCTAAAGATTTTCCCTCAACTAAGCTAGTTGGGGTTTCAGCACGAGCACAAAGGGATCGAAGATGATCCAAGTAAAAAGCTTCAATAGTGTGATAGATTTTGAGTGGTTCTTCAACCATTGGTGCAGTAGGTACAACTATTTTTTTTGGTATTTTGCGTTTCCTACCCATAACTAAAGATAGAAAACAACTAAGAACAGCAAATAAAAATTACTTAGTGATAAAGAAAACAAGCACACATGAGAATATTCACCCCATGCTATGACTCCCCGGCAACGACGCCAGAAAAAGGTCTTGATAACCCACAATTGTAGGGGATCGCAACAATTTTCGATAAGTAAGAGTGTCGAACCCAACGAGGAGCTAAATGTAGAATAAATATTCCATCAAGTTCTATCAACCACTGATACAACTCTACGCATGCTTGACGTTCGCTTTACCTAGAACAAGTATGAAACTAGAAGTACTTTGTAGGTGTTGTTGGATAGGTTTGCAAGATAATAAAGAGCACGTAAATATAAACTAGGGGCTATTTAGATAAAGATGCAAGAAAGTAAATATAGCGAGTGTGGAAAAGTGGTGGTAGGAGTTGTGGAATTGTCCCTAAGCAATTGACTATGTTACTAGACCGGTAATCACTATTGCAATTCTATTTGAGGGAGAGGCATGAGCTAACATACTTTCTCTACTTGGATCATATGCACTTATGATTGGAACTCTAGCAAGCATCCGCAACTACTAAAGATTCATTAAGGTAAAACCCAACCATAGCATTAAAGCATCAAGTCCCCTTTTATCCCATACGTAAACAACCTACTTACTCGGGTTTGTGTTTCAGTCACTCATGCAACGCACCATAAGCAAATCATAAACATATTGCAAACCCTACAGCGGGAATCCCTCACGCTTGCGCGACACGGAGGGCACAATAGGACAACAACAATAATAAAACATGCAACTCAAACCAATCATAGCAATTCATCAATCACCGATAGGACAACGGAAATCTACTCAGACATCATAGGATGGCAACACATCATTGGAAAATAATATGAAGCATAAAGCACCATGTTCAAGTAGAGGGCACAACGGGTTGCAGGAGAGTGGACCGCTCAATATAGAAGGGGGAAGGTGATGGAGATGTTGGCGAAGATGGCGGAGGTGTTGGTGAAGACCGCGGTGATGATGATGGCCCCCGGCGGCGTTCCGGCGCCACCGGAAGCAAGGGGGAGAGAGGCCCCCTTCTTCTTCTTCTTCCTTGACCTCCTCCCTAGATGGGAGAAGGGTTTCCCCTCTGGTCCTTGGCTCCCATGGCTTGGGAGGGGCGAGAGCCCCTCCGAGATTGGATCTATCTCTCTGTTTCTGCGTTCTCTGATTCTGCCCCTTCACTGTTTCCTTTATATCTGGAGATCCGTAACTCCGATTGGGGTGAATCCTTCGCCCAGATTTTTCTCATAAAATTAGCTTTCTTGCGGAAAAAGTAGAGCCTCAACCACCTTACGGGTGGCCCACGAGAGCCCAGGGCGCGCCCAGGGGTAGGGGGCGCCCCCTGTCTCGTGGCCACCTCGAACACTGTTTCGCGTTGATTCTTCCTTCGGAAAATCCTAAATATTCCAAAATAATTCTCCGTCCGTTTTTATCCCGTTTGGATTCCGTTTGATATTGGTTTTCTGTGAAACATAAAACACGCAACAAACAGGAACTGACACTGGGCACTGGATCAATATGTTAGTCCCAAAAATAGTATAAAAAGTTGCCAAAAGTATATGAAAGTTGAAGAATATTGGCATGGAACAATCAAAAATTATAGATACGACGGAGACGTATCACATACCTTGCATATTATGAGAGAAAAGGCGTTAGAATTACTCCAAAAAGGATTATTATACAATAAAACAATATAAATAACAGTAGGAAAACATGATGCAAAATGGACGTATCATAGGCTTGCTGGACGATGATGGGTTGGATGAGATCTATCATATAATCGAGTTAGTTTTGTTAGGGCTTGATCCCTAGTATCCACTATGTTCTGAGATTGATGTTGCTATGACTTTGCTATGCTTAATACTTGTCACTAGGGCCTGAGTGCCATGAATTCAGATCTGAACCTAGTATGTTTTCATGAATATATACGTGATCTTGATCCGATCTTCCAAGTTGTACACACCTATTATGTGTTATGATCCGTATACCCCAAGGTGATAATAATTGGGATTCTTTCCGATGATTACTGTAGTTTGAGGAGTTCATGTATTCACTAAGTGCTAATGCTTTGTTCCGGTTCTTTATTAAATGAGGCCTTAATATATCTTAGTTTCCTTATGGACCCCGTTGATGTCATGCAAATTCTTTTCCATAAGCACGTATGAATGTCATATGAAATATACATGTCTACATTATATTGATGAATTGGAGCTAGTTTTGTGTCGCCCAAGGTTATGACTGCTACATGATGAATATTATCCAACACAATTATCCATCGCTGATCCAATGCCTACGAGCTTTTCGCATATTGATCTTTGCTAAGTTACTTTTGCCGTGCTGCTGTTACAATCACTACAAAGTTGCTATTTCTACTGTTACCAATGTTACCGTTACTTCCATACTACTTTGCTACTAAAAACTTTACTGCAGATATTAAGTCATTCAGGTGTGGTTGAATTGACAACTCAACTGCTAATACTCATGAATATTCTTTGGCTCCCCTTGTGTCAAATCAATAGATTTGGGTTGAATACTCTACCCTCAAAAACTATTGCGTCCCCTATACTTGTGGGTTATCAATGTCAAACCTGTTGGAAACATATTGTCAAGCATCAGGTCAAAGAATCAATCCGGCTAAATGAAGTATCTTCTTTAGTAAAATTTGTCCAACTAATGTCAAAGATGAAGTCAAAGGAATTCTGAATGTGCCCAATGAGACTTTGAATGATAAGTATGTACGCATGCCATGAGATGTAGGTACTTCAAAATTTGGAGCATTCAAGTACTTGAAGGACAGGTTGTGGAGCAAGGTGAAGGGATGGATTGAGAAAATGTTATCGTCAGCGGGTAAGGAGGTACTGGTGAAATCTGTTGCACAAGCGGTGCCAGTTTATTCTATGTCTTAATTTAAATTGCCAAGGGACCTTTCTGAGCATCTAAACAAACTTATTAGGCAATTTTGGTGGGGGGGGGGGCAAAGAAGGAAAAAGAAAGCCTGCTTGGGTTGCATGGAATACAATGACTCAACCAAAATTCGTGGGAGGACTTGGCTTTCGAGATTTTGAGCTTTTTAATTTGTCTCTTCTGGCAAGAAAGTCATGGAGGATACTACAACATCCAGAGTCACTTTGTGCGCGTAATTTGAAGGCAATTTATTTTCCTAATGAAACTATCCTCTCCGCAGAGTTAGGCAGCCGACCATCACAAGTGCGGCGCGCCATATTGGAAGGGCGCGACATTCTTTCTCAAGGATTGATACGACGAATGGAAGATGGCTCCACAACAAGGATCTGGAGATAATTGGATACCAAGAAATAATACCATGAGGCCGATAGTGTGTCTTTCGGCTAACCCTCCTGTGTTGGTAAGTGACCTCATTGATAATACAAGTGCGACTTGGAAGAGAGAGGTACTGGACCAAACATTCTTGGTGACAGACACTGGTGCTATTTTGAGCATTCCTTTATGCACTAGATGGATGGACGATTTTTGGGCTTGGAACTTCGAAAAGAAAGGGATATCCACTGTACGATCAACTTACCGCATGCTGGTCGATACTAAAATGCAGAGATAAGATTGGCTTGAGGGTAATGGAGGGAGTTCTAATTTTGAAACTCAAGCTAAGGCTTGGACTTCGTTATGGTCGATCAAGTGCCAGGGAAGATCCGTAATTTTCTATGGAGACTAGCGAAGCACTCTATTCCGACAGAGGATGTTCGCCATAGAAGGAACATGGCCGAGGTCGAGGATGTGGCTGATTACGTACAAGCGTCATCGGAGCCAGATGCCAAGCTGTAGTTATTTGCACTGATTGATGAACTTCCACATGCAAGCTTGATCAAGCTGGTTGTTACCCTATGGGCCATCTAGGCATCGTGACGAAAAGCGATTCACGAGGGTATTTTGCAAAGTCCGCACGCAACACATGCTTTCATCGACAGTTTTATATCTGAACTTGAAACTATACATGCACCTACAAGGTCAACGACATTCGAGATGTGCAATACTCGATTGCTCCTAGTCCAGGCATGACAAAGATCCAAGTTGACAGGGGACTATCAAGGGACGGGAGTAGTGGGGCAGCTGCAACAGTATGTGGAGACCACACTGTTCTGTTCTTGGGCTCCTCAACGATGTTTTTTACTAACATAGACGACCCGACGACCCTGGAGGCATTCGTGTGCCGCGAAGCCTTGGCTTTTGCATTGGATCTATCACTCGACCGAGTCGTCATTGCATGTGATTGCAAATCAGTGGTAGAGGAGATAAAGAATGGCACCCAAGGAAGGTATAGCACCATTATAAAGGCGATTCGTGCCCAATCAAGAGATTTCTTGAGCTGCGAATTTATTTTTGGAAGTTGTAGTTTGAATTCTGATGCTCACAGTTTAGCTAAGTTTTCTTCTTCTTTAGCTGGTGATCGCCACTTGTGGATGGGTTTACCCCACAACCTTTTTGTTATCCCTGTAAACCGTGCTTCTAGCAATCAATAAAGTGTGGTTTACCCTAAAAAAACCTGACTAACATATTTGTGTTTTGAGTGACACCACAATCACCATCACCAACTCACATATACTCCTGTAATAGCATAGCTAGTTACATAGGACCAGACCTTTACAAAGTTTGAGCTATGTTGTAATTTTGTCTCAACCAATCAAACGAAGCAACCATGCGGGAAATCTACATCTGTATTTTTTTTGTAGGATTATCTACATCTGTATTTCACGTGCCAGTAACCGAAAAGCGGAACTGCTTATGCGTGGCGCCAAGTTTTCAAAGTTCCATCATACAGAAAAGCGGTGCGGATGGATAGGCGACGTGCTAACGTGCGAGCTCACCAAGGACCCCGGGCTCTTGGGCGTCAGAGTTAGTTCCTGGAAGCACATCCCGCCGTCGCCGTCCTGGTTCTGATCCCGCTCGCTCTCGTTCTCCTCGAGCGACCGCCTCATCGTCTCCGGCGTGAAGAAGTAGGTGACGACGAGCCCGAGCAGGCTGATGGCTCCAAGAATGATGAGCGCGTACATCATGCCGATGCCGGGCTCGTACCCGGCCTGCACATCGCCCCTGTCCCGCGACTGCGACGCCCAAAGGAACCCCACCGAGCCAACGAGCGCGCCGACCTTCCCGGCGGCGGCGGATATCCCGTGGCACGTGGACCGGAACCGCGCCGGGAAGAGCTCGGCCGGCAGGATGAAGGTGGTGGTGTTGGGCCCGAGGTTGGCGGAGAAGAAGGTGAGCGCGTAGAGCACGATGTACCAGGCGTTCTTGGCGTTGCCGCGCCAGTAGTGGTCGTAGGGGCCGGCGAGCGCGAAGAGGAACGCGGCCATGAGGAAGAAGCCGGCCATCTGCAGTCGGCGCCGGCCGGTGCGGTCGATGAGCAGGACGGCGGCGAAGTACCCCGGGATGGTGGAGGCGACGGCGATGATGGCCTGGAACCTCGCCACGTTGTACGCCTCCTGGAAGACGTTCTGGTGGCTCGCCGGCTTGAACCACGGCCGGTAGATCTGGGACTGGAACAGGGTGCTGCTGTAGTAGGGGATGTCGAGCAGGAACCACGTCGCCGCGCACCCGAACAGGTCCCGGCCGTGCTCCCGCAGGAACCCGCGCGAGAAGAGGCCGTACTGAGCCGCCGGCGCGTACCCGAACGGCGCCGGGGTGCGGGGCATGGCCGCCGCGTCCTCCCCCTCGGATATCGCGTTCAGGTCGAGGTCCGTGAGGACGCAGCCCATGTCGCTGGTCGCCTTGAGCACATCGCGCTGTACCAGCGCCGTAAACCTGCACCACCACCAGCCAGCACCCATCAGGTGGAGCAGTTAGTTAGTTCGGTCAATTACTGAACTTTAGTTGGTTACTACTAGTTTAACTTTCTTTTTTGACACTACAGTAGTACGGTACGTTTCTACTTTATCTTTTGGTGTAATGAATCACCTCCTGATCGACCTGGTTTGTTAACTGCAAAATGAAAACTAAAGTGAGCCAGATTCAGCACCGGTATATGCCACTTCAATTTGATATGCCGGCCTGACGTGTGGTGTGACGAGGCCAATCCAACGAGACGCAGATCGATCCAGATATAGATATGCTCAACTTGCTTATTTTACAGCGTATGCAAACTTGTTTAAGTATGCTTATGCAACTTGTTCAAGTATGCTTAAACTTGACAGCCAGATGCACGACTAGTTCTAGAAGCTAGTGCAAGGTCAAACGGAGCTAGGCAACTTGACGATAAGATATATAGTAATACCAAAACTAGACAAGTATAAGCAGCAACCTTATGATGGCGACCAGAGCCTGGCACTTAGTTAAGCTCCGGCTTAGAGAAAATAATTAGGCAAACTGTGCCCAGGTTCGTTTACGGGGAACAGACTGAATTCCTTCGTTGGTCAGCAGGAAGCTGCTGCTTCTTCGGATCTCAAGTATCCCGCGGTATATTCTTCTTCGCGCCATTTGTTTGAGATACCAGTCAGTGTACACATCGATCATCGCAGTTTAGTTTAGTCTACCAATCAATGCGGTGACTTGCCGAAATGTTTAGTGCAAGGCGTGCCACTCGCGCTCGTGTGTCTTACGATGGTACTCGAATATAACCCAGGATGCCAACTCAAAAAAATATAGTATAATCCAGGATTAACAGTCATGGCAGCACCAGCTGGTATTATTAACTTACCATGGGGCCGTTCAAAGGTACTTCGTTCACAGCTTAGAAACAGACACACAGTACGAGAAAATCACCTGCAAACTGACTGTGCAATGGAACTAAATGTTGAAAACTTCCAAATGCAGCCTCGAACTCTTGAACCGTTCATTTTTTACCCCTTTAAGATGTATCAGCTTAAATCCGGGTTTTCATGTGAGGTGGGCAGACAATATTTTGATCAAAGTTACTCCAGTCACATGTATGGTAAATGCATGAATGTGATGGACTAAAAAAATCTGCGGAGACTACGGTTTGCCTCGTCTGGAAATTGGAGTAATCTCTAAGGTGCCTAGAGGGAGCATTTTTTTACAATTTATCTAATTCACATAGATGTTTTTTTAAAAATGTCACATCTAATCTCTCACAAATATATAACGCAACAACATGAAACAAAAAAAAAAGATAGACCACAAACAAAGTGGACAGCAGTTTAGATGTGACATAACTCTAGATGTGTCCTAGACATAGCTAAATTTTTACTGTGTACTGACAATGTGCCGAAACATGTACATGCGTACATGATAACTCCCTGTATGAATGTCACTCCTACAGAGTACTGGAACTACGTTAGGGAAATATAACGTACGTGGTCGAAGAGACACGTAGTGCGCCAGTTGGGGGTTAGGACGACCGACGAACCTGGCTGTTTCTGGCATGGCCATCCTCCAGTAGAAGGTGAGCCCGGCAGGGACGGCGCCGGCCATGAGTATGACGCGCCAGGCAAGGTCAGCAGCCTCCGGAGTGTCAAGCGGGTCCGGGTGGCCCGTGAACCGGTCGAACGCGGCGGCGACGACCATGGTGACGCCGGAGCTGGCCAGTATCCCAAACCCTTGCATGGAGAACACGGCGGCGATGAACGCCCCCCGCGTGCGCTTGTTGGCGAACTCCGACATGATGGTCGCCGACAGCGGGTAGTCTCCGCCGACGCCCACCCCGAGGATGAAGCGGAAGAAGCAGAGGCTGGAGAGCACGCACCCGCGCGTGCGGCAGATGGAGAAGCCGCTCCCGATGGAGCTGCACACCAGCAGCAGCAGGCATGGGCCGTACACGCGCCGCCGCCCGACGCGGTCGCCGAGCGCGCCGAAGAGGAGGTTCCCGACCACCGCGCCCAGCAGGGCGACGCCGACCGTGGCCGAGACGACGGCGGGCGGCGTCACGCCCGGCCTCCCGTCGCCGGCGGGCGAAGGGTAGTACACCCGCCCGATGATCTTCATGACGGGCACGATGCAGAAGAGGTCGTAGGAGTCGGTGAAGAGGCCCATGCCGGCGATGATGATGGCCTTGAAGTGGTAGTACTGCGTGCGGGCGTGGTCCAGCGCCGTGAGCACGCGTATCGGCGCCATTCCGAGACCGCCGCCGCGGCAGCTACCGATCGGCCGAGTGAGAGCCCGCGGGGAAAAGATTGGAACCTGTGGTCGGGTTTGATTAGGGAGGGCACTGATCTGACTGCAACTTAGATTTTGCTTTGTTTTATCAGGCGCGAGGTAGATGGTGGCCGTACCGGTGATGGCTACGTGCTGGAGTAAAGAAACGGCCGTGGGCTGAAAAATCGATTGACCCGGAAAAAAAAAATCCCCCCCTCCCTTCCTCCCCCGCCGCCACCTGCGAGGCGCCGGGGAGGGCTCCAGATCCCCGCCGCCGCACCCCCCTCCTCCTCCCTCCCCCTCCCTCGCCGCCGCCAAGGGGCGCGGCCGGGCGAAGCCCGGGCGTCGCCGGCGGCGGCGGGGCTCCTTCGGCCCCCGCTTGTGAGGTATGGCGTGGGCCAGATTTCGCAGCTGGGCGCGGCGCTCGGTGCTGG